ACAAATTAATTTATTAGCATAATAATTTCTTTATTAATAATAGCCATTATAAAAAACTAGAAGCTTGGTACAGTAAAAAAAATCACACCCATTATAATAATTTTTGTTTTTTTAATTTGGATCATTACCTGAACTGTTAAAGCCTAATAATAATATGTATTAAGAAATATATATCTCAATCATTAATTGCATTGTATTAAAAAAACTAGCTCTTAATTGTTATTGATCATAACGATTAATAAATATAAATTCGGGTGTTCTGTTTCTCGTATTTTGCTTTTTTTTTAATATAGGATAAAAGTTTAGAAGATTATGATTTATAATTGATAATGCTTTGGAATAATTATGTTCAGTTATTTTAATAATAAAAGTGTAAAATATTAGTAGAGTTTTCTTAAATGAGTTTTATCATTTTAAAAATATATTTTTTTAGAGTTTTATCTCATCTCTTTATATTTTTTTACAATCTGTGCATCCATTTGAAGAGGAGAAATCGTTAAGAGGATCTTCCAAACAAGTTTTTTACTTATGTTCAAAAGATTTTTCAAATAAATTGAGTTAGTTTTATATCCTTTAGTATATTCTTTAGTATATTCTTTATAGGGATAACAAAAATATTCATGTTGCATGTATTATGGATAAAATTTGTTGCGGATAATTAATACCCACAGATGGTGGTAGCAGGTAATTTAGTACCCACTCATTAACGAGTTGAGTTTGGGTAATGTACTATCCGTTAAGAAAATAATATTACATTTTTATCCTTAGGTTTAAGGTTTAAGTTGTTGCTAAGGTTTTTATTTTTTTTGTTTTCTACTGTCACCATCGTGTTATGCCAGTGCATTAGAAGCCTAAACAACAACCATAACAACTACTGAGTTCATACGTACAAAATTTTGTTACTATGGATACCTCACGATAGATTGAGACAAAAAGGGACACATGCAATGAAATGATGCACTGAAAAAAATGAAATTTATCGAGAAAACAAGAGGGAGCGTTTGTGGAGAGAAGAGGGAAGTTCATTGAGCTTAATTGGTGTGAAGATTGACAAGAGAAAAAGGTTCTAGAAGCATAGAAATCTCATTATAGGGTTTTTCTTGCAGAATTGGTCACCACAACCATCTTCTCTACTTTGCACCAACACTTCCTCACACTCTCCGACCGAGGGTGAGAGAAGGAAAAAACCTACCATATTATGGTTTGGGTTTAATTAAATGAACCTCTTTTCAAACACAAAAAAAAATTTCCTTCAAAAGCAAATAGAAATGAGTTTTATCTTCTCATTTAAAAATTCATAAGTTTTTTTCCCTTTTAAATATTTGTGTGTATCTAACGAGCACTTGCAAAATGAAAAAAATACACAAATTTTTTTTATGTGAGTATCTACCGGGTAATACGTACAATTTTTTCATGCAAGTCGGGTAACGAGTAGGCACTATATGCGTCCAACTTGACCTGTTGTCATCCCTAGTTCTTTTTGTGTTGTTGACCATCTTAGTTTGCATGTAGTGTATGAGTCTTCTACAAGAGTCCATGTTGATCAATGATTCTAAATGATGTGTCCTGATCGTGTTTGTGTTATTAATAGGACCAGATAGGGTTTCTGAGTGTTTGGAGATGTTCTTAGGATTCCTTGAGTGTTTGATTCGTCTTTCAGTTAAGGGAAGCTAATTGCATTGTTTTTAACTAATAGATAACTTGTAATTATTGATGGTATGTTTATACAATAGTTGGTTTGTGTAATTGAGCTGTTTGATGAAATATGACATGTGGAGTTGAGTTACGGTTTTGATTTCTATCTAGTGATTGATGTGTTGAAATTTAGTATGTTGTATGGTTGATATTGGAATTGAGTAATTGAGTTGTGTATAATTTGATAGTTGGTATGTTTTGACATATGTGGTTGTTGTTAGACTGATTTGTAGGGCTTGAATAACATAATTTTTTTCCACATAATTATGTAGACTCGTTGGGCAAAGTCAAAGTTAGAGAACTACTGCCCTAGTAGCCGTTGGACGAGACCAAAGTCAAATAGCTCATCCACTTGGCAATCGTTAGGTGAGAGTATACTTGTTGGGCGAAAAACCAGAGATCTACTGACTTGATATTCATTGTGTGAGAATACAATCACTCTAGACAAGACTAAAGTCAGAGAGTTTACTAACTTGACAGTCGTTGGACGAGACAAGTCTCGTTGAATGACTTTTGTGAGAATTTAAGTCTTTAAGTTTCAATGATATTCTTGTAAGGCGAGTTATCTAGTCTTTGGACGAGAGTGTTCTCAGGAACTATTTAGTGAGTGAGTAGATATTCTCTCATTGAGAGAAAATATTGGAGTTTAACTCGAATTTCATATTTCTCTTATGGTATGTTTAATGTGTGTAATTTGGTGGATGTTAAAATGATGGTTGGTTTGTAATGTAATATGAGAATGGTTAGTAGTAATCCACGAAGGATTATTGCTGGTTAAAATAATGTGTATGGATTTTGTATTGAAAGTTAGCATATCGCTCTAATAACCATCTAATCTCAAGTATAAAAGGGTAGGGTATATGGTGACAAGATAAAAAAGTCTTAGTTTAAGAACTTTACCTTGGTCAAAGATGTTAACGGACTAACCTTATGTGTGGTAGGGTGAAACTCATTGATAATGTATCTACGGAGCAATAAAGGCTACCACAATGTATCTTGATCATCAATGAGTTTTTGTATGTCACATGTTTGTTGTTATGATTGATTCATATGTGATAACGTCTTTATACTTATTTTATGTTTGTCTTTTTCAAATTAGCTTACCATTTCTTCTTAGTTTATTTTTCTACGTGTTATGTTTGTTTCTAATGATCATCTTAATGATGTGAACAAATAAAAATGTTGCAGCTGATTCAATATAATACAAGAACGATGCAACGACATAATTTAAGACAGTCCTGTTTTGTATAATTTTTTTCTTTTTTGAAAAACTCTAATTTCTATAAATATAGTTACATGACGATTTATACTCCGTACATGCTTTTTATGGACAATTATAATATAATAGTTATATGTAGTCATATTTGCTTATTGATTATTATACATATAATGTTTTATTTAATAATTTTACTTTATTAAATAGGATATTACACATAATTTGGAATTTATTTAAAGTAATAACTTAATTTAAAAAGCAAAAAATATCGTTTTTATTTTTTTCATTGGAAATATAATTCCTATTTTAGAAACTATGGGAGTGTTGCGAGAAACATTCGGGTGCAGGAAGCAGAGACTTTGTCGTGACCCACCAATCCATTAGACAAGGCTCATTAGGGCTTCACCCAAATTTTAGTTCTCACAAACAAAAAAGAAGGCTTTTGCTATTTTCATTACCTTTACCTTCTAAATTCACTCTCCTTTATTTTTTTGTTATGTACAGAAAATTACCTTATTAACAGTTATTTTTAAATTGTATGTTAACACTCTCCTATTCTTTGGTTTTCACCTTCTTCTTCATTACAGTCCAAAACTCACTTTTTCCTTCTTTTTTTTTCTAAAAAAAGATAAACAAAGCCTACTAACCAGGACAATTTCAAAAAGCACTTGGTGGAACTGTTTCTGGAGTTACTTTCTCAAACTCAAGCGATTCTTTTTTTCTAACTGTTGAAAATAATAAAATATATTTCAATTTTATTTTTTTATAAAATCAATAAATTAATAAATATTTTATATGAACTACTTAATAGTTACACAACAAAGTAAAGACAAGGAAAAAAAAAAGTTCCAAGTGGATTATGTTACTGAACTGTCATGTGCCAACATTGAACACAATTTACAACAGGATAAAATTGGTCTGCAAGTATTACATAACTAAATCTATATGTTTTTATTTTTCTTTAATAGTTTTATTTTTAATCAATGGGATAAAATATTGTATTATCTTACTTTTCTAAACATCTAACGTGTAGTTGAACAAAACTCAGAAATATAGTAACTTATCATAAGTTTTAACTAACTACGAATTTGTTTGAACGGTAAACTGAGTGATACTTTTAATTTTACTAAGGTAAGTGAATATGTCAACTAATTTGTTTTTTTTTCTTTTACAAAAATTAACATTCTCCATTGATTTAAAAGACTCATCTTCATTCAAATTAAAAAGGATAAGATAAACTTAATTAGTTTAGACCTTTTAAATATATATTATAAGAGCTCAACTCCAAATAAACTTTAAAAAAGTTTTTATATATATTTTTTCACCATATCGTCTCTTTTCTCTAGTCCTGTCAACTTTACTTTAATTTTTGAATAGTGCCAGAAAGATTTTTTTTTATTAAAGTCAATTACAATTATTTTTTATCATTATTTTCTTTTTTTTATATAAACTAATGTTAATGAAAATCAGCAGATATTAGTTTCCATTTCTTAGTCATTTAAAATTTTCAATTAACAACAATTAAATTTTTTTTTATTAATAATCATTTTCCAACTCATGTAAGGATTTGTAATTATCATTGAGATAAATTATTTTCTTAATTAATATTGGTGAAACTATATCAACCAATTTTTTTTATTGCACTTTACAGAGTGTATTATCAGTGAATCTCTACAAAGTTGAAATACTAATTTTTGTAATTAGTATTTTTTCAGTTGATGGTAATTGACCTTATTTACTTAAACAAGACAACTCAAATTACTAAAAAGAATTGAAAATTTTAATTAGTTAAAATAAAACAAATCACATTCATTAAAATTTTCTAAAAATGAAAAAAAAAATATCATGATAATTCTCCTTTTCTTTTTTGGCAATTATATTTTGCTGCCTATATAATTGGTGAGAATTTTCTTGGAACTTTAGCCCCTACAAATATGTTTGTACTTTTGTTGACTAAAAAACTGGCAACAACTCTTACACACTGATGCAAGCCACTTTCACTGTTTGTCTTTTTTCGCCATCTTCTCCTTCATTCTTCTATTTACATCTTCAGAATCTCACACCTTATATATTATAGTCTCTCCATTCTCTCTATTATTTCCTTGCATTCATCAAAGCCATGAAATCATTCAACAAATTTGAAGTTGTAATGCTCTTTGTTCTTGCTCTTCTGCTTGGGATCACACCCTTGTTACCTTCTTCTCTGAGGCCAACCTTCCTTTACTTCATCTTCAACGTTCTCATCGTTGCACTAGGAGCAGAAGCTGGTCTTCTCTCAGTTTTTTCCAACCCTTTAGAAGACACAAAGCAACATCTTTCTGTCACCCAGAAACCTGTAACTCCCCCAGAAGTGTATGAACCTCAAGAGGAAAAGGAAGAAGCATTCATCATAACAGGTGGAAGTGGTGCCTCAGACCACAGTGAAAGGAAGGCTGAGGTTGTTGAAGTGCTTGCTTCTGATGAGAAGATTGTTGCTGTCAGTGAAGTGGATGAGGTGAAAAACCCTAGTTCAATGCCAAATCTTTTGATCATTGGAGGTGGAGAAAATGAACAGATTGAAATAGCTAATGAGCAAGAGTTGTTTGACAAAGCTGAGGCCTTCATTGGGAACTTCTACAAACAGTTAAAGATGCTGAAAGAGATCTATCAGGAAGCCTTTTAGGATTAATGCATCACTTTTTTTTTCTTTGTTTTCAAGAATAAATCATTTCTAAGTTGCTAAATTGTATAAACAGTGGTTCTGCTTCTGCTTCTGTGATATTTTTCTGTCATGGTTTGTACATATTTTAGGCTAGAATCAAGGAATGTTTGTCGATTATCATCTGATATTTCTGTTGAGAGAATTTTACATGTTTTTACTTTTTGGAAATTTATTCTGATGAACCACTTATGATTTGCATCAACTGCTTACTATTTGCATGTTGAAAAAATAGAGTAGCTTTTAGTTAATTAAACACAAAGTTGGTCTACTAATTAGGGTGCCCTAGCAAAAACACACAAAAATATTAGTTCTTTTAGCTGTACTTGAGTCTGTTTCCTGTTCTTCTGATGTCATGTGATGACTGATGAAATGACCAAGTCGTGATTATCTCGTTGAAAAAAAGCACGTTTGAAAATTTGTTTAATTTTCAAAACATTGTGTTCTAGTTCATACCCAAAATTAGTGGCAGGTAATGTTTGATTATACATCTGTCATGATTCTGCAGGTAGCATAATATAAATCAGTACAGAAAAAATAATAAATGGAAATCAACTTTCTAATACATCAAACAAAGGATCTCTTGTAAAATGGTTTGTCTGTTATTAGTTGGTAGATGCGTATCCTTCTAGATAGGAATATTGAGTAGAATATCTGTTCGTGTTTTATTATCACAATATTATGGCCTTTTAATTATCGTGCAAAAAGGAACAAAAAGAACAGCACATATATGATAGTATAGCACTAAATTCTTTTGCTGTATTGTCATTATAATTGTGGTTAGTTTTTGGAGTTATAAAGTGGTGAGTTTAGGGTTCAATAAAGAGAACATTATTTTACTTTTGGGATACTAATATTTAACTATCTAAATGAAAAATAAATATTATAAGTTTTTATTTATTTAAGTTATCATATTCTACAATTTTGAACAATTTTTATGAAATTTTATCGGTTGAAAACGAGCATGATCAATTTCAGTGTGTAAATTACAACTCATATTTATATATGGTTGTAAGAATTTAATCATTTTGATTATAATATACAAATTTAACCATTTTTTTTATATTGTTATATATGATAAAAACCTTTTAAGAATCAAAGAACATAGTTTTGCATTAAAAACTAAACTAATTAAGCTAAACAAAATGTAATAAAATCTATCAAAAGATAAAGAAAATAACTTTAAAGCACTCCTAACACTGGTATAAAATAAGATAAATATGATATAATGTTTTTTACATCCATTACATTTTAATTATATTTATAATCTAGCCCATAATTAAATAACTATAACAGAAAAATAATTACACTACACAAAACTATGTTACAGTGGAAAGACATGTTGCATTTGATGTAGGGATGGTGAAGTTGGTGACAACCAAGAGCTTGGTGGGCAGTGAGTTATTTTTGGGCCCTTTCAAAGAATATAATAAGTTATAATCTTTGACAGCTAATAATAGTATAAGTTTTTTTGTCTTCTGTGCACTATAAAAGTTAAGACATTGGAATTTCTGTGGGGTCTTTTTACTTTGGAATGTTGCTTCCAACTCCCTTTTTCTATAAGATGTTATCTTTTAGGTTTTACGATGTATTGTCTTTCTGATAACCAAGTTTCATACTATTTATTATTTTAATTTGTTGGGAATTGGATTTGATTGCCTTATACAGTTTGTTTACCAATTAGGCAATTAATCACAACTATAAATTATATTTATTGTACTAATTTTATTTGATCAACTTTATTTTCAAGTTGTGAGAAATTCAAAAAGTGATATTGAATAAAAATAAATAATTAATTAACATATAAGTAAAAAAAAATCATAACTTTATTATCTTTTGGAATTGAAAATAATATTCTAAACTCATATATATATATATATATATATATATATATATATATATATATATAAGTGTGCGTCTAAATTAAGTGGCCACAATATATTCGTAAATTAAATGACCCTTAATCGGGATATATTGGTGAAATAATTCTCTGGTCAATTAATAATTTCCTTGAAAATGTGTTTTTGTCCAATCCTAAGTTGTTTTATTGTTTTAAATGTGGTAATATTGATTCTTTGCTTTGATTTCAATCTTTCAGTGAAAAAAATGATATTTTTTTTTATATCATTTTGTGTGATTTTTGTATACATAATGTAAAATGTATTATGTGAATTAAGTTGTTACACATGGATAATATATCTTTTGAGAATTATTAAAGGGATTTCTATTCATATATTATATTTTGGTATCTGTAGTATGATTGTAATATAAAATTTGTAAATAGTAAAATATTTATAAGGTTATATTAATATTGTGTGTACAAAATCAACTAGATTCAAATTGGTATAATTACTACATTCTTTTTTTTTTTACTTCTTTCTGTTTTTTCAATTTATTTATGTTTACAAGAAACTCTTTCTAAATACAAATTAGAAATTAATTATGAAAATATCTACTATGAATGGTGAATGACGTGAATATATATATACACAGTTTATCTTTAGCCTGAGAGGTAGAAGGTAGTCATAAAAAGTGCGGAGACTAGGAATGGGATAAGAACCCTAAGTGACTAGAAAAAATAATATTGTATAGTCTTCACTAATAAAAAAAAACTGTATTTAAACTCACACGATAGAGCTCGGAAGAGAAATCAAAACTTATTAAAATACGGTGACATTATTGTAGTTTAATCGAACTTACAAACTATATTACCTCAGTTAAAATATCAACCGGTGTCTAACACTCTGAAAAATCCAACCACCTTCTTGTAGAACCGACTTTTTCGCCTAACACCTTTTCAGATCCTAACCTACTACCTCGGTTAAAATATCAATCGATGTCTAGCACTCTGAAAAATTCAATGCAAAATTGACTTTCTGCTTGACACCTTTTTAGATCCTGACCTACACTCTCTCGGTTTTGTGGCGAACCGAAACAGTATATGTTGGCCAGCATTGATAAGTCTTATTATTGAACGTTCCAATTCTTTTTGTCTATGATGTGATAATTATTTTTTTATATTTGTTATGTAAGAGCATGAATAACTCAATTATCTCATTTAATTATATTTGTTTTTGCTGATAAAAGAAATCTATAAACATATTAGATTATTTTATTTTTAAAATGATTTTGATAAATATATATTTCAATTTTTCTCTCA